CCGGATGTGGCTGTCTTGCAGGTATTTGTTGCAGACTACTTTTTTACATCAAAACTGGCGGAGGACTATTCTTCTGCTGACATACAGGTTGGCATTTCTTAATTCATCATATATATTTTTAGGCACTGCTTTTGGTAGGAGAAAACTTTTTGACATACTTTGTGAATCTCGTTGCAGCATTTAGCATTTGTTTCAAGAATTTATTTTGTAGGTTAATTAGGATTCCCTTGAGGGGAAATCCTATGTTTGAGAAGAAAGATGATAAAGGATTTGGTATGTGTGTTTTTCTCCTTAGGTGCAGGAGTTCCGTGGGTGAAATCCTTGAGCAAGTTCCAAAGTCTTGTGTCTTCTTTCTAATGCATCAAGACTCTTAGCTTTATATGAAGTTTGATGTTTTCCCTGACCTTAATGATAGAGAGACCTTTGATTTGTCAGCATTACTTGCAATGCAATGCTAAATTCGAGGTTTTCTGTTCTTTCTGTTTCTGAATTGTTATTCAGGTTGAAGTGAAAATAGATAATTCTAAGGAAATTTCCAAAGATCGTGTTCTCGACAATTTCATCATAGAAGCTGAAATCTATGACACTGCCAGCTGGTATGATCAGGAGGGATATATGGATCTTCTTTCATCTAAGGCTGCTAATATAAGGCTCAATCCATCCCCTACAAGACTTCTAGGATTTCATGGTTATGTGCTTTCAGGGAAACTGGAAACACCCAGGCTTTGGTCTGCAGAGCAGGTGAGGAACCTATCTTATCAACTGATTTTTTTTAGTTCTGTTTGTCATTTGTTTTACTTGGCCCAACAAAGAGGCAGTATGAGTTCTATTTACTTCTGAAATAGTGATTCTGTCCTTCAAAACCCAAAACTAATCTCCAACTAAAGCCTGCACATGTCTATGCACTCTTACATATTTGTATATGATATAAGTTGAGTTACCAGTTATGTAAAAAATTTATATTGATAAGAAATAATCTAGTTATGTTATTTTTATTTTACTCATGCACAAGCTTATTAAGCTGAAAGCATAGACAAAATATAGACCCATCATATCTTGTATTGAAATTTAAGTTAATAGCAATAGGACAGTTAAGATTCAAACTCTTGATCTCTGGCACATGTATAAGATTCTAACACTATATGTGAATAGGCTGCCTTGTAATTTAACTTCCTGAAAATAGTTTTGGTAAAAATCAAGTTCTTAGTTGTTTGGTTTTTATTGTTGTAAGTAACATTGTTGTCCTAATCTTGGTGATGTAACTTATTTATTTTTCTCATTCTGTGGTTAGCCCAATCTTTATGTTCTCGTTATTATCCTGAAAGATGCATCTGGGCACATAGTTGACTGTGAATCATGCCTTGCTGGCATCCGTCAAGTATCAAAAGCAACCAAACAGCTTCTTGTTAATGGCCAGCCAGTTATAATAAGAGGTGTGAACAGGCATGAGCATCATCCACGATTGGGGAAAACTAATATAGAATCTTGCCTGGTTAAGGTGACGCCCTTTCTTTATCTTCATTGCTTTTTTCTCTGCAAATCAAGTTGGCATTTGGCAAAAGTTATTTTTCTATTAAATATATTCTTTTGATTACAGGATCTTGTTATTATGAAACAAAACAATATAAATGCAGTAAGAAACAGCCATTATCCCCAACATCCACGCTGGTATGAACTGTGTGATTTGTTTGGCATGTACATGATTGATGAAGCCAACATTGAGACACATGGTTTTGATCTTTCTGGACATCTGAAGCATCCTACTAAAGAACCAAGCTGGGCTGCTGCAATGCTGGATCGTGTGGTAGGGATGGTGGAAAGAGACAAAAATCATACGTGCATAATTTGTTGGTCCTTAGGAAATGAGTCCAGCTATGGTCCTACCCATTCTGCCATGGCTGGTATATTTTCTGTCATTCTGTTATCAGTGGGTTGAGTTGTTTAAGTAACTTTATTCAAAGAAATGGCTTCTAGAAGGTTAAATAAGATATAAGAGAATGTGTTAGGCGTTTACTGAGAACTTTCTCCTAGATTACATATTTAACCATTCTAATGCTGTTTGCTGTTTTCATTTTAACTACCCATGCTAAAATAAAACATACTGTCAATTGAAGTTGACTGTTATTAGGAGATGTTCTCTGAAGTCTAAACTTTTTTTTCCCTGATTTCTGAATATTTGCTTTGTTGCAAATGATTTGGCTTTTGCAGAAAACGTCAAGCCTATACTTGTATATTCTCCAACTGATATTTCGGTTATGAAAATGATGTGTGAGGATTAGATTGGTGGCTGCTATAATATGGTTTCACAATCCAAATTCATCATCTCCAATATATTTAGAGATAAATTGCTAGACAAATACTATGTGTTTGCATTAAGTCAAATTACCTGGGATAAGTTTAGAATATTTGGAGTGTTGTTGTTGCTTTGAAACATACATTCTCTCTTGTCTGCATTGTCTCTGTTACTATCTCTTCTGTTTTTATTTCAGCTATAAATTCTAAGAACTCTATTCAGGTTGGATTCGAGGAAAGGATCCTTCGCGACTAGTACACTATGAAGGAGGGGGATCTAGGACCCAATCTACTGATATTGTTTGCCCAATGTACATGCGTGTTTGGGACATTGTTAAGATTGCAAATGACCCAAATGAAGCACGTCCTTTAATATTGTGCGAGTATGTACTTTTTCTCACTTAAAAATATGCTTTTCTTTTTCTCAAGTATTACTCTTCTTTTTCTGGTTCTACTGGCAGAATTGCTGCTTTATTTTCATAATAGTGCTTGTGTCTAAAAAATGACAGGTATTCACACGCAATGGGGAATAGCAGTGGGAATATATTTGAGTATTGGGAAGCAATTGATAGCACTTTTGGTCTCCAAGGAGGTTTTATTTGGGATTGGGTTGATCAGGTATAGAATTTTCTTTCAATACTGAGAGTAATTGATGTTTGGAGTTGAACATCTTGCATCCGGTACTGACTTGAAGTTCTAAAAATTTAATTTTTACTCTTTAAAGATTTTCAATAAGGCAACTTGTATCAAGGGTGCCATATATTTACCACATAAGGAAAGTGTTGGAACTGATAGTGAAAGCGGAGGAGAGGAAGATGCTTTCTTTATTCATATGGTTCTTTATGTACATATATTTGTATACTAGTTACTTATACATGTATGCATATGGTAATAAAAATAAAGGCAATAATCAAAAGGTTTACATCTCAATGTAAAAGGTATACAAAAAGAAAGTAAAGATTTTCTAGTTTTATGGCAAAATATTCTGGTCTCATCATAGTATATGGTGAATTTAATAGTAGATAGTCATTACAACTCCTCAAGATGGTTCGTAGATGTCTCAAATGTCCTAACAAACTAGTCCATGAAATTGTATATTTCGAAGACCTTTGCTGAAGACATCTGTTTGTTGGTATCTATAACTAACATGTATATGTTTAAGATACAACTCGTGTTTTTTTTGACGAAATATTTGTCGATCTCAATGTATTTTGTTATGTTAGGTTGAATAAGCCTATTACTATACTTATTGCAGACTTACTTTTACAACATAGTGCTAGACATTTTATGGGACATTGTTAGTTCATGTAGTAATTTCTGCAACCAGAGTAGCTAACACACACCTTGTGCTGCTGATCTGTATTCAGCTTCTGCACTAGACGTAGTAACCATTCACTATTTTTTATTCTTCCAAGTAACAAAGTTACCTCTCATAAATATACAATAACCTGATGTAGGTTATCAAGAGATCTAGCCCAATTTGCGTTAGTGAAAGCTTCTATCTTGAAGTGATTGTGCTTGAAAAACAGTATGTTTTTTTCTGGAGTAGAATTTGCATTTGAGAATTCTATAAAGTGCAATTAGGTGCAGTTCTAGGGTTCATGCATGTATTGGCTCATTATACTTACAACATGGGCTAAATTAGGCCTAGTATGTCCTAGGTAGATTGGTCTTATAACTAGTCTCTGATTCCTCCCAACTTCAACTAGTTTAACAACATCACCATGCTGCTTTGATTGGTTTCAATGGGAGTCAATTGGTTTACAACCCAATATGCCAGTTTCTTCCACGAGATCTAGAATTTTTTTCTTCCATTTAGAGATAAAATATACCAATTTTTTTGTTTGGCCGCTTTAATATCCAGAAAATATTGTAGCTTGCCCAGATCTTTGATCTTTAATTCTTGGGCTAGAAGCCATTTTCGCTTTGTCATTTTTTTTTCATCCCCTGCCATTACTATATCATGGACATAAGCAATGGATCGTACTCTCACGATGTTTAAAGAATAAAATGTGATCAACGTTGCTCTAGTGATACCCAAAGAAAATCATGGAATTACCAAGGATCCTTTTGGCATAGTTGATGCTTGTGCTATGAACTAGTAAAATTTTATTTGGACATGACTTTTAGTAAAAGCAGGTTTAAGGTTCAAGTGAGGACTTCCACTTGCATGATGCCTGCTGAATCTCTCTGTTGAAGAAATTAGTAGTTCTTTAGGATTAGCATATTGAATTCACTAAATTAGTAGTTTAATACTTGAGTTTTGGTATGAGGATTGAGGGGGTACATAGAAGGATTTCATGGTGGAAAGGAAATCTTCTTGGTTTGTAGGGACAGCAGCAGTAAAGGGGTGAGGGGTACAGTCCAAATACAGGAATGGTAGAATAGTTTACTGTTTGCAATCAGGATGACTTTACGTGAGACAGAGTGGTTAAGAAAATAAACTAATTGGATGGATCATTGCGCTTCAACAATTTTCTTCTTGCTGAACATAAGAGAAGATCTATCGTAGTGATGGCAATGGACTTGAGGAAGAACCTGAACATGAATTTGGTTGTATTCTATGTTAAGGCCACAAGGAAACCATAAGAGTGGTCTCCCTTAATTAATTTTCAAAATCTGGACACATTTGTTGAACTTGCTGCTTGAATTCCTTGATAATAGTCTATTCTTTCCATAAACAACTTAGTTCAACAAAATATTGAGGTATAGTCATTTCACCTAGTCTGGTTATTTGTACTTTGTTTGACAGATATATTTGGTGCGTCATTACCAATCTGGAAGTATATCTGGGACGCAGAGCTTCAAATTTTGTGGGCAGTATCTAGGAGTAAGTACCCAAGAGAAACTTGTGGTTGCATCAAGTTGATAAATCAAGATACTCCATTGGTCAAGTGTACAATTAGTATCAGCTGATTTAAATTTACTTAACATATCCTTGCAGTCTCCGAGCTTGGATGTATAGTAAGTAAAACCATGGCCAAGCAAGGTAATTGTTTCAATGCAGCCTTATTGGGCAGATTTCTAAAGCTAGATTTTCTCCCATTGGGGTGATGGCGTTCTTTACTAGCACCAATCTCTAAAATTTCCTTTCCAGATTTATTTTCTACCATTTCTCTCTCTTTCTCACTCTCTTTCTCTGTCTGCAAGCACCCAAATCTGCTATTTTTGTCCGCCAAGGAGATTTTCATGTGACTATGATTGCCGATGCATGATGCAGAGAGTCAAACCTAAGGATTGAGCAGAGTTGACTCTCTCTGCACACAAATAATAGTCAAAGTCTGCTCTCTCTGTCCACAATTGGATTGATGTGTGACACAGGGAGGTGACCAGACTTCGTGCATGATGCAAGGAAGAGGAGAGTTTGATTCAACTATTACTTGCACACGACTCTGTTCCGCAGATGGAGCTGTCATCCAATGCAGGAAGGCGTACTTGTCTTCAACAAAGTTGACACCCTCTACAGACAAGACTAACAGAGGATTATTGAGGCTCCTGGATGTGGTTGATTAAGTCACCACTGCACTGACCAACAGACCTAGGATAAGCCTAACTGCATTCAAACTTAAAGGAGAAAGAAATTCTTACGAAGTCTATACCAATTTCAGAAAAGGCTCAAGGCCCTAGGGAGTTACCAAGGAAGCAATTAGATGTTGGACCAGGTCCTTTGTTCAGGACAGACAGGAATCACGGGCGTAGATCTGATACCATGTTATAACTGATTGTGAAACCAGAGGAGAGGAAGATGTTTTCTGCATATTCATATGGTTTTTTACACATCTATATACTAGTTATCTATACATAGAAGCATCTATATATGGTAATAAAACTACAGGCAAATAATCAAGAGATTTATATCTAAATGAAAAGATATACAAAAAGGAAAGTAAATATTTTCTGATTTTATGGCAGTATATTGTGAAGTTAATGGTAGGTAGTTAAACAGAAATTTTATTTCATTCTGAAACTTGGCTTTATGAAGCTACCATATGGAACCAGTTTCTCCATAAGCCCCTGAAAGTATGGTCCCTTCACCTTGAATGCATGCTATTAACATGCATGCCAAATGCCTTATGGTTTTCAATGGTCATTTTTGTTGGTCTTTTCTTTGTATATCGAAGTGTTTGACTTCTAGATTAAGATGATATAAGGGTCCTATTTTAAGATTTGTCTTATTACCAGTTTCAAACATAATATACCTTGTAAGATGGTCTTTATTAAGAAAACAATATCTTTGGAGATTTAAACAAGGACTAAATCATTCTTTGAGAGGTTTTAGCTCTGGTTAATTCCCTAGTTTCATATTTTAAAGATGGCAAATTAGGTTGAAATGCCTTGCTTTTGATTTTCTTGCTATAGAAAAAGCATTGATACGGTTTCAGTTAATTATTTCGTCATTTCATTTCGAAATTACACTGTTAATTGCCCATATTTTATTTTACTTCGGGTTGGGGGTAGTCACGGATCATGTTCATAAGAGGATACCTACTGAACGTTCTGCACTTTGCAAACAGGGTCTGCTGAAGGATAATGCTGATGGAAGCAAACATTGGGCATATGGAGGTGACTTTGGGGATACTCCTAATGATTTAAACTTCTGTCTAAATGGCCTTCTGTGGCCAGACCGAACTCCTCATCCTGCATTACACGGTAACTTGTTGAAAACCATACTTACAGTTTGCATGTTAGTTGGGTTTTCCCTAAGATGATATTTCTCTCTTGGTTGTTAGTTTGCTCTATGCCTCATGGCCTATGTTATTTCTTTCAGAAGTTAAGCATGTGTATCAACCAATCAAGGTTTCATTAAGGGGAGGCACATTGAAGGTGCTTGGTAAAATACTCAGTTTTTGTTTCTTGCTGTTAGTTCACTAGAAATAACTTTTGTTGAGTTTTCCTTGCAGATAACAAACACCAACTTTTTTGAAACAACACAAGGACTGGAATTCAGCTGGGCTATTCATGGGGATGGATACCAACTTGGATCTGGAATTCTGTCTCTTCCCTTGATAAAACCGCAAGGCAGTTTTGATGTGGAATTGGATTCAGGTCCATGGTGTTCTGTGTGGACTTCCTCAACTGCGGAAGAGTGTTTTATAACAATAACTTCTAAGCTTTTGCATTCCACGAGCTGGGTTGAGCATGGGCATACCATCTCATCTACCCAAGTTCAGTTGCCTGCCAAAAGAGAGCGTATACCTCATGTAATTCAGCAATTCTCTTCTGTTATATTAATAATTTTTCTGAAATATAATTTTTTTTTGAAATATCTTCTATTATACTAATAGTGAAACCATAAATAAGATAAGTAACCCAAACTGTACTAGTTGCTGTTTTTACATTTGACAATGGTTTTCAGGTCATAAAAGACAAGGGTACTACTATCTCCAGTGAAACTTATGAGGATAAAATAAAGCTTTTTAGTCAGCAGAACCTTTGGGAGATACAGTTCAATGTTCAAACAGGAGCTCTTGAAAGCTGGAAGGTACTTTTTATGTTCTGTTTTCTGATTGGACAACTGTTGAAATCTTTTAAAGTAACTTCTAATTAAATTTGGAAAATATACATTAATAGACCCTTCACACTGGACCCTTCTCTGGCCAAAAAACAGAAAGGACAGAAAGAGGGGAGGTCTTCAGCTTTTTACTTTATACCTGAACGTTATTCCTTTTTCTTTTTCTTCCTTTTTTTTCTTGCAAATGTGTAACTTTCTGAATTCATTCTCCTTTTGAGCATTAGTTATTATTATACCTGAGCATCTTGCTTTTAAATGTCAACTACTAGCCCTAATGGTATGGTGCTGAATTTTAGGTTCAAGGAGTCACTGTGATGGAAAATGGCATATTACCGTGCTTCTGGCGAGCACCAACTGATAATGACAAAGGGGGATGTGCAAGAAGTTATTACTCTAGGTGGAAAGATGCTCATATGGACAAGCTTGTTTTCCTCACAGAGAGCTGTTCCATACAGGATAAGAAGGATGAACTAGTGAAAATAGCTGTAGTTTACCTTGGTGTAACAAAGGGTGAAGATGGTTCATTCACTGAATCTGAAAGATCGAGTGTTCCATTCAAAGTTGATATGGTTTACACGATCTATGGTTCTGGAGACATTATTATGGAATGTGATGTAAATCCAAGCTCTGGTCTTCCACCTTTACCCCGCGTGGGAGTGGAATTTCACATTGAAAAATCACTAGATCAGATTACATGGTATGGAAAAGGACCATTTGAGTGTTACCCGGATAGAAAAGCAGCAGCTCATGTTGGCATCTACGAGCAAACTGTGGGTGACATGCATGTTCCTTACACTGTTCCTGGGGAATGTGGAGGAAGGGCAGATGTTAGATGGGTGACACTTAGAAACAATGATGGAATCGGAGTTTATGCTTCAATCTATAGGAGTGCTCCTCCTATGCAATTGAGTGCGAGTTACTACACAACTGCAGAGCTCGACAGAGCAACACACAACGAAGAGCTTATCAAAGGAGATAACATTGAGGTAGCTTATTTTCTTGCTTCGTTTTTTTCTTCTTTACAATAAAAATGGTCGGTCCTCTTGACCTGTTAGATTATCTTGTTTCGCATTGATTAAAATGACTAGTATGCTACAATGTGCGGCAATTGCAACGTTATATTTTTTGTTTGTCCCACTCATTTACCTCTCGACTCTGTAGGTTATAGAAACTAATGGAGTGTAATCAATCAAAATAAAAAGAGCAAAGAAATATGGTATATTCTTTATGGCTTTTTGCAATTCATACTAATAAATGGAAGTACATTGGAAACAAATGCAAGAAATGTTAAGCAACTGTCTCATTCAGCTAATGAACTTTAGGAGGGGTGGTGTGTATTCTGTCCCTCTGGCCAAAAGCACACGGTTTCTTTAGGGGGATTAATGTAGAACCATCTAAGTTGAAGTT